TCTGGTCTTTAACTATTAGCTGTCAAAGCCATAGGCTTTTGAAACTCGATTTATTGTAGACACGCTCCACAGGAAGATATATCGGCAAATAATGAAAATATAAAGGCCACCAAGTAGCAAAATATACAGGGTTGGCATTGGCAGCACTTGTTAAGACTTGACCCAACATCTGTGGAACCTCAATAAACTTTGATCAGAGAAAGGCTTGAACAATGATAGTGAACCCTTGTACTTCTTAAACTGCATAGACCAAATATGAAGCCTACAAACAATATAGCCCTAGTCTAGTTTCAAAAAAGGAAGAAATGATGAAAAGGATAATAAACACGAGCCGTACAGGTAACCTCCTATCGACAGTATTTATTTTTTTCAGTTCACGTATCAGTTAACTAAATCTGTGCTTAGCGTGAACAAGCTGCAAGTTTCTCATATATCACAGTCAGAGGTAAAAGGTATGAACTTACCCCCCTCCTATTACCTCCCAGTCTTTTTCCTTATCCAGGTCTAAGGTTGAGGTTGCCTCTTAATCTAGCCCATTACAGTATTCTCATCCAACGTTTGCCCATGGACAGTCCCAACATCTTAGTATTGTAATTTGTAGTGGCACATTAAATAAATTCCTAATCACATAATGTACTCAACAATCACATAATACTCTAAAGTCTGTGTTTTTTTCCTTTTTCTTCCTTTACTTTCTTCTTTTTCTCTAATCTATGATCCCACATGTACTATTTTTCATCTTTTATGGGATCATTCTTCTCCCTTCATAAAAACCTTATGGAGTTTCATGTCCTCTTTCCATCTAGGTCAATCATCATTCAATTTCAGAATAAAGTGAAGAGGTGGGAGAAGTTGTAACAATAATTATTCACTTTCCCTCATGCTACATAACTTATTGTCCTGTTAGTTGAAGTTTTAAGTTAAAATAAGAAAGGAAATAATAATGAATTTTCAAAACACCAACTAGGAATCCAAAGTCCTCAATTTTCACCTTTTCCACGGAGTTTAACTCCGGAAACCATAATTTGCAGCTGGGAAATGGAACAGAGTTGAAAACAACAGACCCACAACAAACATGTATGCTTTCAATCCATATTTTGAGATCAAGTTAATTAGACAGATCTACTGAAAAGGTAACAGAAAGGTTAATTATAATTAGCCTCTGGATAATATAAACAACAGTCATATTTGCAGACACTAATAATAGTTATTTTTTGAAAGTCAAGAAATCATACCTCGACACCATTTACTGGCTATGGCTAATAACGTTATTTCAGCCAGAAGACTTTTAGAATTTTAATAAAACTAGTAATTTCCTATTTTGGTTAGGCAAGAAGCAGAAAAATAAATTACATTTTAAGAAAATATGTTTTACAATCTTAAATAAATGTCAAGTATTAATCCCTTAATTGCATTGTTAAACAGGTAAAGATTGAGGTAATTGCAAAAATTTGTAGTTTGAACATTTCTCCTCAGTTTAAATTTTGGATTGAGCACTTGTAGAGGATTTTGTTGTTTATATTGCGGCTATATGACAAATCTGCATATGCTAGAGCTTGAGGTGAGTGGTTTCATGTTTTGAGGCCCAGGCATGCCTGAGTTTGATCATGTACTGAACTGTTCAAATGGGTAATGGAAAAGTTCTCATTAACCCAAAAAAAAAGTTTTGCAATCGCCTATCACCATTTAGCAAAGAATGAAATAAGACAAGGAGTAGGTTGGTTTTTCAGGAAAAAAAGATCTATAGGGGAAAAAATTTGGTGCTTCACCGGTATCTGCAACAAGTTGACAAGGCCTTCCCAACAGATAGTAGATTTACCCTAGAGAATATTTAATTTTGTGACACCACATTTGATATAGAGAGTCTACAAGGTCAGCTTTATACTATGTAAACGTAAGCTAACGCAGTTCGTAGGAGTCTCAATTTACCAGAATAGCATGCAAACAAGATGTTACCTTAACTGATAAATAAGACTTCTGTTCAGGAAAGACAAGTTTGTTACAGGCTCACCTTCTTCAAAAGTGCAATGGGCTGGATCTTCACCAAAATATAGAACAAGAGCATCAGCTCTCCTACCCTGACATTACACCAAGTGGTAATGGATGAATATTCTAAGATTAAAAGAAAAACTGTATTAGTCATGTTTGCTGCAACACTGTAGGGAACTTGGTAGCATACCGCAGCAGTATAAAGCGATTTCAGAGATTGTACTTCAGCTACAGCAACTGCAGTAAATTCCCTCAAAGTCTACACCGGAATGTGAATGATTGGATAATAAATGATAAAAAGTTCAGAAAAATGTTAGACATCAATAAATAGCTGATCTAGTACATCGAAAAGAAAGATACTTCAAACACCAGAAACCGAAAACGAATATAAAGCAGTGAGAACATGTCACAATGTGGAAAACTTGACAACTCCAAGCTGGGGAGGAAACCTTCTGATAATAATGAAAAAGAACAAAAACAGAAAAGAGACAAGTAATAACAAAACTAACATAACTGATTATACCTTACAAAAAACTTCTGATACGGGGCCATCGTTTTCGGAAGCAGTCAGGTCCAACTCAACTTTCTCTAAACCTTTGACAACAGCTTGCATTTCTTCAGCCAAGAACTTCAATTTTATCTGTGCTGTGAACCAAACTCTTAGCAAATTTATGATTGAAATTTTCCAAAGTAATAATAGGTTAGTGGTTTGAACCTTTGATGCAGCTTCCAGACTAATTAAATCCCCATAAAAGTCAAGAAGATGTGGTGACTTTGAGGCAAGAACCTGACATTCATAATCTTAAATTACAAGCACAAAAATTATTGAGAAGAGAAACAAGAAGACGAGATTTTAAGTGTCATACTCTGCTGCTTATAATCAAGGGAATTTTTTTTTTCAAATACCATCTTAAAATCTTTTCATTTGAATATTCCTCTCAAGCATTCACATTAATATATCCCCTTCAAAAACCTTAACATATTTTAATGGGTAAATTTCACTTAACCCCCCAGAACTTTGGAGGGTGTTGCACGTAACCACCCTCAACTTTGTTTATTCCACTTAACCCACCTGAACTTGTCTCACTTAAGCCCCTCCCGCCAACTTAACACTGAACTTTAACGGTCATATGACATGCATATGACATAAAAGGACGGAAATGCCCCTCAGTTTATTACAAATTGTATCTTTTTTTCTCATTTTTTGGATTAGAAACTCATCTCATTCTTTATCATCCTCTACCTCCTACTAGCCATGTTGTAACATCAAGACCCCAAGCATTTATAAAATTACACATTTCTTGAGGGTGATTTCAACAATGAAAACGAAGATGGATGAACAAAAGAAACGCTTGAAAAGTTATGTAGTCAAAGTTGAATTGACACAGGAGAGAGTGAAAGTTCATTATTTACCGATAATTCTCACTGGATATGCAATAGAAAACCAGAAGACTCTGAGGATGATCTCAATTCTGGGTCTGAAGGTTGCCTCAGGTTTTTGTGAGGGAATTCACATTCAGGAGACAAAAACAGAAGCTTTTCACTCTCAAAGATCACAGACAGGAATGTGGTTTTACTACATGTTTTGTAGTAGTTCTCCGTTGTAGTCATTTATTGCATATGTACCTCCTTTGAGATTGTTATCTAGCAAGTGGAGGATTTCCATAAGTTAAGGAGCCAAGAGGATTCTGAGTTTAGCAAGATCCATTCTTTTCTCCACCTTGGGAATAACCCACAAAACTTTCCCAAAAATGAGTATAGGTGGGATCTTTGATAATGGTGGAGCCTCGAGAAGAGAAAGGAGGAGATGGGTTTAGCACAACTCACGTGATCCTGGAGTAATTTATTGGAGGAAGAAGATGAAGATGACGGAGACAGCAGTGTTGGTTTTTTGAGACACAGAAAGCTGAGGGTTTTGCAAAGAGAGATGAGAGGTTATGTAAGGAGTTTTTTGATTGGGTAAATTTCACTTAACCCAAACTTTAGGTTTTTACACATAACCCCTTCTTTAGTTGATTTTTAATGAGGGCATTTTGGTCATTTTTTTATAAGGGCAAGTCAGTTCCAGCAGCATCAAGGAGGTGTCCTAGCTCTGATGTTCCACCATTCCTAGTCCAATAATGTATTTCATTCTTGTGGTGAGGTGTTGAATCGGTATCACATAGCTATTCTTGTGGTGAGGTGTTGAATCGGTATCCCCTAGCTTGGTGTATTCCACCATTCTTCGTGAGATAATGTATTCCATCATTGTCCATGAAGTATTGTACCGGTATTTCCTAGCTTGGCCTAGGGACGCCATCTTTGTAATCCTACCGGCATCCCCTAGGCCCGCCTAGGGATGCCATCTTTCTAATCCTACTATCATAGTGGAGAACTAATTTGGACAATGGTCCCGAGGGTTTCCCCTTAGTGGTTTTTCCACATAAAAACCGGTGTGTCCCATTTACTGTTTTGCTAGTAATTTATATTGTCCATTTTATCACAAAAAGAGGAAAACTTAAAACTTCCCCAACTTAATAGGATTTCCTAACGTATATAGAAAACCCTTTTTCCTAGTAGAAATTTAAACTTATTCAGCATTAAGTTTTTCAAAATAGTTCTATGATCATATATTTTAAGTTTGCACTAAAACGATGTAAAAGTGAGATAAAAACTATAAATGAATGGTTAAATCATCTCATATTGTTCTTTCTTTGCACGTGCACACATGTATGTACTTAGGTGTTACGTGATAATAGAGGAAGAAGTATGGATGTGTACACAAGAATAGAGGATGAATAAAAGAGAACGGTAGAGATAGGCATGTGCAATATAGAACTGGAGTGTCCCACTTTGCAGCAGCTACAAATGTAGCAGTATCTAAAGGACCATGAACCAAGACAGTTAGCAAGGATGCATTGACAGAAGAAATATATCTTAAAAGAGCTCTAAAAAGAAAAGATTTCATAAGGTTAACGCCCACGATTTGACATAAAAGGTTGTTCGTGGTGCTTAAATTAGAACAACAATAAAAAGAATTTGTTCCAAGTGGCATAGTGCTCCAAAACAAAAAAGGCAGAAAAAGGCATATGATATCACTTTCTGGATTTTAAAACGGCATAGATGTGATGAGATTGGATGAATGCTAATTTTTTACCTTGAAGGAGTAACTGTACTGTACATAGGTATCTGTTAATTTATATGATCCACATTGTTAGGATGGTCACATCTATTCAGTTCACATCTGGGTTTGGACTAACAAGACAGGAGATGACATTTAGTCCTACATTAGAAGACAAATTACATGAATATATTGTTAAATATGCTTGGACTCATGACTCATAAGGGTTAATCCTTCTCAGTCACTTTGGGTCCAACTAGATTAGCTTAGTCCATCTCCAATTCTCCATTCAGGGGCCATTACGACCAAACACATGTACAACAAAAAGGTAAAATAGAGAAGGTTACACTTTTACCTTACAGAAATAATGCAACAACGTCAGTTTATTAACTGCACGAGTATCTGCAAGTTTCAGAAGGCTTTCTAGGCGGAAACCCAAGGCTGAACCTGCAAAGCAAGATCATGTGTTGAATAAAAATTGAGAAAGTCCAAGTGCAGAAGTGTTATTGTTTTCTAGATAAGTTCATGTTGCAAATACAGTATGTATACTAACAAACATAATCAGACTTCATGTACATAACTTGATTAAAAATGAAACATCAGGCAAGGCATTAAAGCTAGTAACAAAAAGCTCAGCTTGACTGTTAGCATAACCAGAGTTTATGAGTAGGCGATAATTCAAATACCTTTAGCAGTCCCTTGGTTTAATGTGTTCCCAAGAAGTAAAATTTTCTTCATGAATTCCTTTAATATAACAGAGTTCTGAATCTGGAGAGTAATGAAGACATGAGTGACAAGCTAAATTGATTTAAGATTGAACATTCACATAGATCAGCATGAACATTCACATAGATCAGCATTAGGTGTACCTCCACGCAAGCAGAATGTGCGGTGTTCAGATTCTTCCTAAGATCTGATATCTGAGAGAAATTGGAAGAAGCTGAAATCATCAATTCAGGTAGGAAATTTATTTTATGAAGATAAAGAATCACAATACCTGTGAACGAAACTGAATCTTGAAAGAAAACACTCTCAACTTGGACTCAACTTGAGGAACTTTCATCAACTCCAGAAAGAACTTCAATATTTGCAAACAAGTAAAGCATTAAAACTGTCATATAAAGGCAACATCATAAAGTTTAAACTGGTGAAAAATTAAAGCACAATGATAAGGACAATATGCTGTTACCAAAGTGAATATAAGTATTGAGGAACTTTCAGGCTATTATAACAACGCTGCTGAATAGAGGTGGAAAAGAATCGAATCGAATACCAAGTTGTTCCGTATTTGTATTTGTTTAAAATTTTCAAATTTGAATTTGAATTCGATTATTCATTTTTGAGGGTTTTCGAACTCGAAGACTTGATATTTGATAAATATTCATAGAATATATCGAATATTAGAGTATATTCATTTGACTAAAGAATTCGATTTTAAAATAATATTTAGATTTATGATTGAAAATTATTCCTTTATATAT